AATCATATACAAATGACTTTTCATGCACTTCATATACAGTGACCAAAATCCTCTTGCTCAGCATAAGAAAGTACAACTAAAGTCTGCTTATGGAATCAGTGGAAATTACAGAGGGGTTGACTGACCAAATCCCCACTGATTTAATCAGCCATGCTAGTTGTGATTTATTGCACTAAGCAAAAGCATTTCAGCCACTGAACCAGAATTACATTACATCTGTGTACAATACTGATCAAACTTCAATTTTAGCAATAGGTGCCAAATTAATCATACAAGCTTTTTACAGGTTGCATTTGGATGGTATCATATGCATCTAGTTCTCATCATGAAATTACCGTATTTTTCGCACCATAAGACACACTTTTCCCCCACAAAACAGGGGGGTGGAAAGTCTGTGCATCTTATGGAGCGAAGAAAACAGATTATATTTTCCTGTTTTCTTCTCCTAAAAAAATTGGTGCGTCTTATGGAAAGGTGCGTCTTATGGACCGAAAAATATGGTACTCAGGATTCATTTAAGCCAGTCAAAATCATATAACATTGGGATGCTTTGTGGGTGTAACTAAATAATCTGAGAGAACATTTATATTCCATCTGAGGTTTCCCATTAGTTACATTTGAAAAACACATACAACTTAGTCATTATTTCTTAACAGATGTTTACCTTTTTCACCTTTTCTAACATTTTTACTGTCATGTTACCAGTGCCAGGACCAACTTCAAGAACAACATCTGTAGGGCGCAAGGCAGCCTAAAAGATAAATTAAAATACAGTAGCATAAACATTGATTTTAAAATAATAACCCAATCCTGGACAAAACATCACTGAGTAGATACCATGTAGCATTTTAATGTAGTGCATTCAGTGCTAACACAGAACAAAATCCTATCCCACAGTCATCTAAATTTAAACTATAACCACAAAGAGACAGAATTGAATGCCATTTTAGTTGTTATTTCTGATATAGCAACTTTCAATGGAGCAGCTTTTACTACTAAATAAACCAATCCAAAGACATCTGAAACTGGATGTCTTTAAATATAGCTAGCTTGCATACAGAACAATATTTTTGTTTACCTTAACTGAAGTTGTTTATATTTTCCTATCCCTATCTCTCATTTTTTTCTATTAACCAACAATTATTGTTCATCAGAGTTTCCAGGAAAGGGTATATCATCTCCAACTATAATAATATAATTTTGATATCTAACATAATGACTTACCTTTTCTATAATGCTGTTAACAACAAGGGGATTTTTCAAAATGTGTTGACCCAGTCCAGTGTTGAACCTGATACCTGATGCTAAAGTCAAAATAGCAAAATCACAAAAAGAAAACATTAATTGCAACTAATTATCTTTGGAAGAGATTGGCTGTTTATAAAAAGGCAATAACCAGTGTGGTGTAGTGAACAGAGTAATGGACTAGGACTCAGGAGGCCTGAGTTCAAATCCCCATTCAGCCATGGAAATTTACTGGGAGTTTGGAACTGGTAAAACCACTCTTAATTTTTTACTTACCTTGAAATATCACAGTTGATGTAAGCTGGTTCCAACTTGATGGCACATAAGTAACTTTATATTAGAGACTGCATTCTTATATAATACAAATCAGAATTTGAGACCCTTAAACATAAAATGTATTTGAAGGGGGGGAAAGGATATAGAGTATTATATGAAGTTGGCAAAATCAGTAATGTACAGTCAAGCTATTAGTCCAGAAAGGACTGAAACATATCGGTTCCTCAAATGGGATTTAGGCTGCAGCCCTACACTTTGTTGTCATGACGTGCAGTGATGTCACTTCTGACTTATGACACGAACTCTGCCAGCAAATCAGTGTTAATGTCAGCTAGAGGGTAGACTCACTGAACTGGTAAGTCAACACTTATAAATTCCAGTGAATCAGAAAGAGAAGCTTGAGACAAACAATAAGATACTGATCAACAGGACTAAGTTCTAAGTACGGTAGATGTACAGTAGATGGTACTGCATTGTTAATTTTACAGTGGACCCTCTACTTAAGGAA